TAATTAAGTTTGTTTCTCTCTGTCAGGGCCGTTTGTGCTGCTTCTTTTGTTATTGTCGTTGTTGTTGTTGTTATTATTGCTATTGTTTTGTTATTGTTTGTAAAGTGTTGTTATTATTGCTTGTTATTGTTAATATTGTTGTCGTTTTTGTTGTTGTTGTTGCTGTTGTTATTGTTATTATTGTTGTTGTTGTTGTGTTTGTTGCTGTTGTTTGCAATGCCTTGTTGTTAGTTTTGAGGTAGACGCCACTATAAGTTGTCATTGTAATCTTTTAGCCCAATAGAATGTTAACCTAGTTGATGATTCTATTGTTGTTGTCGTTGTTGCTGTAACTGTCATCTTCTGGCTGTACTCAATAAGAACTCTATGCTCTATGTGCCTATTCCCCCCCCCTCACAAAACACACATCCCGTACACCCAACACAACCCACACACCCCACAAATACCCATACACATACTTTGGCCAGGACTCCATTTCTGAATACCTGCGGCAGTCCTAACGTTTCATGAGTGTAACACTCGTGTCATGCTGAACGATGACACACCCTTGGTGCAATCTTGTCGTCAATATGTCACCCTGTGGAACTTCCTACCAGTGGGCGTTCAGTGATATTGGTCTTGCGATAATAACCTACAAGTGGTCTTTGTTTATGAGAACCAGCCTGGTTTAATCCAAGTTCAGAGACTTAGTGGATGGTTGGTTAATGAGCTGTTGTGGTTTGCTCCTTTTCCCCTATATAACATCTATCGTCATTATCTCTCTTTTTACTTTTTTGTGTTTTACTCAATAGTGACAGCTCTAATCTCGGGCATCCAAATAACCTTTATTGTATTGCAAATGCCGTAAAGCTCTTACCAAAATTTTAAATAAAATAGACGTCCTCATACCAAGAGGGCTTGGGTATTGAAATGCTATTCTTTCCACCATCACGCTTTGCCCCAACGTAACGCCTCCTCTAGGACAGCTCAGAAAAGAATACTGCCTTTAGAATTGTTCTGATAGTAGACATTCTTGGGACATATCAGCCCAAGTGATCCTAATTATTTTCTATAGCTCTATTGTAAAGTTTTACATATTTTGCTTTGATCATTGCTACAATATATTAACACCTTTTTTTTCAATAGCCAAAACGACAACAAACCATACCAATATTTGAAATCCGCTTGTGTATTAGTAATGTTCTTTCTAAGATGTATCTTGCGCAAGCCTGATTCCTCGTTTCCTCTGTTTTCCCCTTCGATCATCACCTTTCACTATTGCTTTCCCCACCGCCAAACAGTTTCCACTTTTCCCTATCTTGGGTTAGCTTCTTGAATCATTCCATGTCTTTTCACCTTTCTGTTTATCATTATCCGTGACTCTTCTCCAGTTCCCAAGTTGAATTCCTCTTGATCTCTTAAAATGTGGGTTCCAATCCAGTTTGACCTTCAATCAAATACTTCATAGTTAAGAAGCCTTTTCGGTATCTCAAGTTGCAGTGCTGCTCTTTAAAGAAGAAAGTTTAACAAAACCTTCAAAGACTCCCTCTCTGGGCCTCTTTTATTAGCAATAATAATAATATTGTTAAATGTTCCATGCCCTCTTTGACAAAACTTGTATTATTTAAGAGGTCGCTCAATATGATGTGTGTGGTGTTCGCTTGTCAAAAAATAACCCCAAAAAACCCCAACAAAACAAAACCAACCAACCAACCAACCAACAAACAAATAACAAATTGATTTTTACCCAAAACTAAAGCAAGTTAAAGTGTAAATATTTTGGAGTACCTTTAAAAACGGCTGTCTATACATCAGGCAAGGGGTGAATCTAAGGTCTATGTAGATAAAACGTCCATGATAGCACATAAATCATCTCTGCACTGTGAGACCAAGATCTTACAGTACAGTCAGTTACTTTAGTCCCAGCAGGGGCCCAAGAAGAAGAAGAACATGGATATTTTAGATCCGGCTTCCCTGTCTCTTTATGTTTACATACAACCTCCTTTACCAGTCGGGTTCGGTTTTGTTGTTGTTGTTGTTGTTGTTTCGCTTTGTTTTTGGTAAGTGTTTTATGGCCCTTGCAACTGCATATTAAAGTCATTTGAGCTCGCGGGACACATTAAATCTGTTTAATTAATTTTGAATTTTGCCCGAGTGGCAGCCGAAGCCAACTCTTAACGATTTTGGATCATCATGTGTTCAACTTGCTCACGGGACCTCCAAGATTATTTCACCTTTATCCGAGAACGCTTATAGGTGTTACCTACCTAAAATTAGGGGGTGGCTTAAAGAGCTGTGAGAAAGAGCTAATTAGTAGCAGTAAAAAAAGCTGCAGAAAGAGCAAGGAACCCAGAGGAGGGAGCAAAGAGGGGAAGGGGTGGGGGGGAGGGGAGGGGGAGGGCAGAAAGTTCAGACGAAGCAGACAACAGATCATGGTTAGAAAGCAGGGTGTGTATGATACATTGCGTCAAAAGCTAAGCGGGACCCAACTCCAACTCTCGCGTTTTCCTGCTGAAGGGTGGGGGGGGGGGGAGGGGAGTAGCCGTCCTTATAATATCACATCTATTATAACCTATCATTTGGAAGAAAGAGGGCGGTCGGAGGGAACCATTGGTTTGACGTGCTCATTGAACATTCCATTTGTTTTATCCGTATGCCCCTCTGGCTTCTTACAATTACGCAACTACGGGTATTGCGTCGATGTGCCACTCTTTATTTGCTAAAAAAATTAAGAGTGTTAGGGTAAGCGCTGTTTTTGTAATGTACTTCCATTTAATGTTAACTTAACAATTCTAATACTTCGTTCAACCATTGTTTTGTCTTCTTTAATTGTCCACCAAAGAGACAAAATGATTGGAGGAGATTGGGAGGTCTGTGTGTGTGGGGAGTGGGGTTGTTTTATGTACCAGGTATAGCCTAACTTGAATAACAGAAGCACAATCAGGGATGAGGCAGTCCCCCACGACCTAGATGTGCTGAGTTGGAAGGGGTGGTCAGGGACAGGCAAGAGTGGTGTCGACTGCTCTCTGCCTTCTGGTGGTATCGGACGTAAGTAAGTAAGTAAGTAAGTAAGTAAGTAAGTAAGTAAGTAAGTAAGTAAGTAAGTGAGTCAGTGAGTTAGTAAGTTACAAAGTAAGTAAGTATGTGAGTCAGTAAGTCAGTAAGTAATTCAGTGAGTCAGTGAGTCAGTGAGTCAGTGAGTAAGTAAGTGACCGAGTGACTGAGTGGGAGTGTGAGGGACTGAGGGAGTAAATGAGTGATTGAGTGAGTGAGTGTGTGTGAGTAAGTGAGTGAGTGAGTAAGTAAGTAAGTCAGCAAGCAAGAAAATAAGAAAGTAAGTATGTAAGTTTGACAACGTTTATCAGAAAACTTAAAAAAATATATAAATTGATCTTCCCCAGGACGTGGTGCGTTTCAAGATTCCGTGCTTATAGCTTCTCGTCCGAATTATTTGACTATGCGTACGAAACAACGAGTAAAGATACATGAAACAGTTTATTAAACACTTGAGAGTAACACTGTATTTTACTAATCTTTATTTCGTAACAAAAGGGTTAGTTGTGACACGTAACATTCAGGCCCCACGAAGACATTTTTTTCAGAATTGTTTCGGCGGAATCAGACCAAAGGGTACAATTGATGAAAATACTTTCACGATGCTGCAATATTGTTTCCTTCTCGCCTTCCTGGTCACAACTTTTGAATGACGTAATGAGTATGGCGTTATTATGGAATGCATGGTAATGAGTTTTTAAAATTCTCCAAAGACCAGTAAGATATTTCTCCTCCTGATATCTAATGTCTCTCTTGGCTCATTTAAATACAGATTGAGTCTTTTGGAATGAATATCTGTCTTAAAGCTACTTGTCCTCCATAACCAATCATCAGTCTATTCAACAAGAGTGTCTATGTTCGTGGATTGCTTTTAAGAGTTGAGACAAAATAAGCAGTATCCCTCTATTGTTTATTCTGTTTACCTGTGTCTTTCTCCAGTTATTTATTGTTTGTCTGTGTGTGTGTTGTTTTTTTAATTTGTCAGAATTTACTCTTCGGCCTGTGTTTCAGCTTCCTCCTCGTCGGAATCGACAGATCGTTTTGCGAATCCAGACATCCCATGTGTGCCGTACACTGAATCCAGGGGGCGCTTTGCAAATCCTGACATACCGTGTGTGCCATACACGGAATCAAGAGGACGTTTTGCAAATCCTGACATGCCATGGGTACCATAGACAGAATCTAGGGGGCGTTTAGCGAAACCTGACATACCATGGGTACCGTAGACAGAATCTAGAGGACGCTTAGCGAAACCTGACATTCCATGGGTACCGTAAACAGAATCTAGGGGGCGTTTAGCGAAACCTGACATACCATGGGTACCGTAGACAGAATCTAGAGGACGCTTTGCGAAACCTGACATTCCGTGGGTGCCATAGACGGAATCAAGGGGGCGCTTAGCGAATCCTGACATACCATGGGTGCCATAGACGGAGTCAAGAGGACGTTTGGCAAAACCTGACATACCATGGGTACCATAGACGGAATCTAGGGGGCGCTTAGCAAATCCTGACATGCCATGTGTGCCATAAACCGAATCCAGAGGTCGTTTAGCGAATCCTGACATACCGTGGGTTCCGTACACGGAATCGAGTGGCCGTTTGGCGAATCCTGACATACCATGGGTACCATAGACAGAGTCCAGGGGGCGCTTGGCGAATCCAGACATACCATGAGTGCCATAAACTGAATCAAGAGGCCGTTTGGCGAATCCTGACATACCGTGAGTTCCGTATACCGAATCTAGGGGGCGCTTGGCGAATCCAGACATACCGTGTGTGCCGTACACTGAATCAAGGGGTCGTTTAGCGAATCCAGATAAACCGTGCGTTCCATAGACGGAGTCCAGAGGACGCTTGGCGAATCCTGACAAACCTTCTCCCTGGGAGATCGAGTCGAAAGGACGCTTAGCAAAACCTGACATTCCATGGGTGCCGTAGACAGAATCCAGAGGTCTCTTGGCGAATCCTGACATACCATGGGTGCCATACACTGAGTCAAGGGGTCGCTTGGCAACTTCTGGTGCTCGTTTTGCTGCTTCAACCTCTTCAGAGTCGGAGTCAGCGGTGACGTCGTTAGTCTGCGGAGGACAAAAAGGACAAGTAAGGATGGAGTTTTTGTAGTCCGCTTATAAATCGCGACCTCAGCGCTTTTTTGTTGTATTTCAATTTTTTTTAAAGCAAAATGTGCCTTATTCTTAAGCTCAATCGTTGTTTTGAACTGTTTTAACTGTCATTAAAGTTGGAGATACGAAAAGAAAGCACCCCGGTCGCGAAATGTTCGGACATTCAAAAAATATAAATATTATTTGTCAGCATTTTGGGTTCTTCACAATTTAATAAACCTTATTCTTACATCCTGCTATATAGACAAATCAGTAGGCTGTATGTTGAGCCTCATGTTTCCATCCTATTCTTTTTTGCTGAGATACTGTATCACACCCAGTCCAGGTTAGCACCAATGGGAAAGTTCTAAGCAGCATGCATATGAAATTATCTAAATTGTTTCGATAGAGACGAAAAACATTTCCAAGGCCGCTTTTCTGTGATTAAACAGTCATCACCTCCTCTCGCTTGCTGGGTATCTAACTAAGCTTAGACGGTCAGCTGTTTGTTTCGTACTTTAGCTTTGGTTAACTCTTGGGTTGAACAAGTCATGTCTCCCTTTGCCTTACTTCTATGCCCTGCACTGACTTTCTATACAACGATACTCGTAACATTCTACGTTAACAACGGGCGAACAGCTGTTCAACGTCTTTTGATCAACCATGTAATGTTCATATTTGTTTAAAGATTTAAAAAAGAACTAATTTTAAAAAATGTTTGCCTCCGCTCATCAATGTAATCACACACAAAATTCCACTTTCCCCTGTCACTGTAAGATAAAACTGCAACTATACTGTGGCCTCCAGGATGACACCAGTTCTGCGCTCTAGTTCAAGCTCGTTTAGACATTTTACTGTAAAGTGCACTTTTTGCGCTACCCTTTTGGGCTTACTGGAAGTAAAAGTGCAAGTGACTGCTAATACCAGTTTGACAGTGACACACTTTACTACTTTACTAACAAGGAATGAGAATGAGGCTATACTTCTTGTTTTCCTTTTATCCTGTTTGAACCGGCTTGAATTGTAAAGGGTTAATTCACTAAGGACGCGCATTCTGTTCTGTCAACAACGCTTGGAGAAGCGCAGATTTTGGAGCACTTTAAAAAAGGAAGCATAACTTCGATATTGAAACAATTTTTTTCAATCGTGATTTTATTAAAATTTATCTAAAAGTCAAAAGGGCAGACAACAGCAGACATTCTATGAATATACCAATTCGTATGTATGTTTGTGTGTGATAGTTCGAATGTGACACAACTCTGATTTAATCTGCTACTGATCGGACATAATTTGAATACCATATCCTCAAAGAGATACATCAAACAAACAGATCACCAATGTGTTAGACAGGTCCATTTGTTCAACATGGTCGCTAATGTGAACCAGTAATAAGAATAGAATTTCCAATTTCCCCAAGGACTGGCCCAAGACAAGAAACCTCACACCCCTTAGAAAAAGAAACATAGAGGATCTAATAAATGTGTAAGCGCCAATCATACATAGACGTAAGTCGCAGTGGGACATTCCGATTTTGGATGCGCCAAAAGAAAAGAAATCAAACCTTCAGTTGATTTCTTTTCTTTCTTGCTGCTTGGAGTTTATATATTTTTGGCTTTGTTTCAAATAGAAATTACATAAAAGCAATTTTTTCTCCATAGAATGTATTTCAATTTTTAAAATTCGGAGACGTTTATGTGTGTGTGTGTGTGTGTATGTGTGTGTGTGTGTGTGTGTGTGTGTGTGCGCGTGTGTGTGTGTTTGCGTTTGTCTGCGTGTGTGTGTAACATTGTCCAACTTCAGAGTCTGTTATCACTATTTTATGTTTCAGCAATTGCAGCATTTAATTTTCCGCATCATTGTCAATTCAATTAACTTCTTAAGAAAGAAACAACAATAACTTTCAGGGAGAAACAGGAAAATTATAGTATTTACCATAAATGGGAAATTTTCGACTTAGATCTGAATTTGACTGGCACGTACACATAACGATATTATTATGATGCTGCCTGTCACTGTCAGAAAGGCATGAGACGCCATGCTCAATGCTCACGAGAATGTGATTCGTCTTTCGACATTGCTCTCAGCCACTTTCCTTTTTTTATCAAGAGTAATTTTTTTCTCTCACGTAGCCACCTCTTTTTCCCCATTTATTTTCCTCGCTCTCTCTATCCATCTCGATCTCTATTTCTCTCTCGGTCTGTTTCTACCTCTGTCTCTGTCTTTTTTTCTTTCATTCTCTCTTTCTATCTTTCTTTCTATCTTTCTATCTTTCTCTCTCTCTTTCAAACACACACACACACACACACACACACACATACACACACACACGCTTACAACCACACCCACATACACGTGCGCGCGCACACACTATTTTGCATCATACGTGTAGATGTGTGTGTTGATGTGAGTGTGTTTTGTGTGTGTGTGTGTGTGTGTGTGTGTGTGTGTGTGTGTGTGTGTGTGTGTGTGTGTGTGTGTGTGTGTGATTATGTTAGTCTCCTTCAATCTGCTCGCCAAGTTTCATTCCCTCGTCAACAAGATTCCTCATTTACCATACTGTGGGTATTTAGACGGGCGCGACTGGAAGGTCCTACGTCTTTTCTCCCCCCTGCTGTTTCAGTCTATATCTCTTGCTTCTTCCTTGCACTAAATGTCAGTTACTGTGTCGATATCCTTCTCTTAATTCAAACTCAGACTCAAACTTACCATGTGGATGGTTGGCGGGTGCTCTGATGTGGTTTCCTTCTTTCCTATCAAACATATATCATCCTTATCTCACGTTCTATTTTTTTGTTTTTGTTACTCTCTTGTAACACCTCTAATCTTCGGCACTTATGTGATCTTATTGTGTTAGAAGTACCGTAAAACAGTTACAACCCCCCCCCCAAAAACCAAACAAAACAAAACACAACCAACCAACGTACCATGCCTCCATACATAGAGACCTCATAGTTCCATTTGTTAGCATCGAAGCTGTTGAAGTCATCCCTGAAGATGGTTGCTGCTCGGATCTGCCTGGAAGGAAGGCGGGCCAAGTCTGTCCTCTCACCGCCTTTTCCAAAGACAGACAGATGCACTTTATCTACCTATCTCTCTATCTATCTATCTTTCTATCTATCTATCTATCTATCTCTCTATCTATCTACACACATTGTTTCGTACATATAAGAATAGTGGGCATATGTGTGTGCGTACTTGCATGTGTTAAGCGAATGCGATGTATGTATGTATGTATGTATGTATGTATGTATGTATGTATGTATGTATGTATGTATGTATGTATGTATGTATGTATGTATGTATGTATGTATGTATG